CCTAAACCCTAAACCCAAAAGCATCCCAGGGCTAGGATCCCTAGTCAAACTACGAAACTACACTTGGGAGTTTCCCCTAACTAGGGGTAAAATTCAGGGCGATATAGGGGTGGTGTAGGGTTGTATAAAGTTACATAGGGTTTAGGATTTAGGGAGTTTCCCAAACCTAGGGGTCCCTTTTGAGGGGTCCCTATAATAAGGATGATAGTATCTTGGGGTCTATATTGGGGTACCCTACTTCTGGGAAACTACCACATCCTGAAGAGCAGACAGGTCAGGGGGAAAAGCCGTCAGGGTTTAGGGCTTACTAGTTTTGTCAAGGAACGAAATACTTTGCGTACTGCCCCCACCCAGTAACAATCTATAATAGGAAGAATATGTGAGGGCCAACTGTTATTGAGTGGGGGCATGCCCAAAAACATAGTACTTAAACTTGTCCATGTCTCCCCGCTTAGGGGCCGGCTCCTCGAGCGAGGCACTGGCGCTTTCCAACGCCATGAGAAAAGGGAAGAGGTCTATGTAAGTGGAATATACAATCCCTTGAGCCATCGTCTAGACTCCTTAAAGGAGCTTATATAGGGGACTCTTTATGGGGGTATTGTAGGGGGTATTCATGGGGATACTAGGAGTTTGGACTAGAGCCCACATAATTTCATAATGAGATGCTATGAACAGCTATGACTCATGCTCCTTGGCATTCGCTGTTAGTAGCATAGCACTTCAAGATTACATGCAGCCCTGAACGCTAAATTTCTAAACCCTAAATGGTGGGTCTGCAGTTCAGATGCCACCTGGGCTTGAGCCAGAGGGTCGTTTGGGTTGAGCAGCTGCGGACTGAGTCCTAGACAAATTAAGGTTCGTGGTTAATTAGGCTTAGGATTTTGGGGTTAAAGGATCCCCACAGGACTGGTCTTCTCAAAATTCCGGCGCCGTGTTTTGGGTAGGTTGTAAAGACATGGCAGGCGCGGCGCATCCCGGATGTATCGCAGGTAGGGTTCGGGGTTGCCGATTTAATTCATAGAACACTCCAAATCTTGAATATGCAGGCCCTGTGATTCTACAGTGGCAGCTGGATGAGATGATCATTTACACGCCTCGCCCCTCATGTACGGAGCTTTAAACCCCCCAAACACCCTACTAAGCCCTCATCCTGCGACCTCAGAACCAAAACTCTTTATGGGGGTTTCCTAAAATTAGGGGTACCCTTTTGGGGGTCCCTATAATAAGGATTATAGTATTTAGGGGTCTATATTGGGGTTCCCTTATTTTGGGGAAATTGCCTTACCTATGCATGCATATTTGGTGAGCCGCCTCAAACTCTGCATGAACTCGAAACAGGTCTTCTGGCGCGACACACACCTGAAGTCCGCAAAGCTATATAGATCCAAAGCCCTGAATCTTAAGCCCCTTAACCCCACGCACCTAAGTCCTAAGCCCGTCATGCAAGACGGCAACACCTGCTAAGCCCATCAGGCCTGGGCGTGCAGTTGGCGAATAGCCTGCACCTTCCACCCAAGAATTGTCCGGGATTTGGATTTAGGGCTTGACACTCAGAAAATGATGCAAACCA